TAATATCATGTACTGTACATGATAAGATATTCTAAGTCTCCACAATTTTACGTTGTAAAACATTATCCTACAATTGTTCCACAATTTGTAGACAGTCCTTTTACAGATTGTTGAACTGCACATCTTTACTTTTGAGATACTCTGCCACACTGCGATGCTCTTTTTATACACAGTTATGTTACTGACTTGTTGCCAACTAATCTAATTACTTGAAAAATGTTCTTCCAGATGTTCTTTCTTTTTAATATCACTTACATTTCCAGCCTTTTGTTTCCTTTGTCCAATGTTTTTAAGATGTGCGGCGGCAAAAAAATTCAAAATGAACTAATATTTTTTGTCAAATAGTATAATGTCTAAGGTTTACAATATTTTCTATGTTCTATTATGATTAAAATGATTTTCTGTAATTGGCAAATCATTGCATTTTATTTTTAATTACTTTTTAGAGCATGCCCACTTTTTGGAAGCTGGGTTTGTATATCAGATCATGAAATGTCATGACTAGCAAGTAGTACTAGTATAATTTCATGGTGGCAACACATTTTTTGATATCTCTTAATTCTGATGCTAAAAGCATTAGTATTACAAATCATCTGACACATTAATTCACAAATGTTATAATATTGAGGGACTATATCAAAGTCTGTTATTTGCTAAATAACCACTGGCTTCGGATGTTATCAGTCAATTTAGAATCTGATTTCTGACACCCATTGAATGGACTTATAATATCTGAAGCAGTTGAAATAACTGTACATATTAAAGATTGAATCAAGCTATGTGAGTTTGTTGAACCTGCAAAATAATAATTCTATTAATAATAATATTTACTGACACATAGTTAAACCATTATGAAAATATGAAAGCATGATGAGATTTTAACTATGAAATCCTCTTCCTTATGGGTGTACACTTGACTGAACAAAATCTATGACCAGTTTCTCAGATTAAGGATTAAGGATTAAGTCTGGACAGTGCATGTCTGATGAGTTAAAAATGAGTTACTTTTTAGACAGTCAAGGGTTGACATGGATCACGTGACCATAATCACGTGCTCCAATGAGTTCCAGGAGTCCAAAAACAATGGTGACACACAAACAGTGGTGGTGCAACATTTACCAACGTAGAAGCTTTAAAATTACAGAGGAAAATCCAACAAACTCCAGTTAACCATGGTGATCTGAATCTGAAAGGATCTCCTTCTAGTGGTGTAAAGAAAATGAAAATGAAATTACAAATAACAGTGATTAAAAAATGTACCAAACCCAAAATAAACTAAATATTCTACAATTTAGAGCAAGTAA